TATCTCCCCCCTCCACCTCCCCTTCCTCTTTCTCTCCTCCTCCTGCCCCACCTTCTTATCTTCCCCTCCTCCTCATCCTTCTTCTGACAGAGTCTCACTTTGTCACCCTGGGTTGAGTGCTATGGCAGCATCATAGCTCACAGCAAACTCAGACTCTTGAGCTCAAGTGATCCTCTTGCCACAGCCTCCCAAGTCACTGAAACTACAGGCACCTACTACCATATCCAGCTATTTTTAGAGACAGGGTCTCACTCTTGCTCAGGCTAGTCTTGAACTCCTGAGCTCAAACAGTCTACCTGCCTCAGCCTCCCAGAGTGCTGGCATTGTAGGCGTGAGCCACCACACCGGCCCCTACTTGGGACTTTTTTCATTATTAAGTCTGGTTCTAGCCTAGGAACTTCTGTTGGCTAAAAGGGCTGTGATACTAAGAAAGTTTGGGGTGGGTATGGTATTTGATTTTAATGCTTCCTGTTCTGTTTTACCTCCTTCCTCCGTGAAAACCTACCGGCTTCTGGAGGAGTAGAGTTACATTGGGGAATATGGTGTAGATAGGGAAAGTCACTCTGAGTTGAAAATGAAGAGGCCCATCTCTGCCAAACACTCTTCCAAACGATTAGTGACCTTTCTTGCTGCTAAATAAAGGCTGAAGGAAACCATGAATTGGCTCAAAAATCTCTTCAAATGCTCCTTCAGAACATGAAACAAGTTTATTTTTAGAGTCCTGCGGTTCCGACATAACTACAGAGAAGGTCTGCATGTACGTGCTACCTCACCTCTGATACCTCAGATATTTTAGGTTAATTACTGTAATTAGCTATGAAACTAGTTCATACTCCTGTCAATTAAGGTTTTTTTTTTAAATTTTATTTTTGAGATAGTGTCTCACTTTGTTGCTGGGGTCTAGAGTGCTCTGGCATCAGCCTAGCTCGCAGCAACCTCAAACTCTTGGGCTCAAATGATCCTCCTGCCTCAGCCTCCCAAGTAGCTAAATTATAGGCATGTACCACCATACCCAGCTATTTTTTCTATTTTTAGTAAAGACAGGGTCTTGGTCTTGCTCAGACTGGTCTTGAACTCCTAAGCTCAAGCAATCCACCTTCCTCAGCCTCCCAGAGTGGTGGGATTACAGGTGTGAGACACCACACCCAGTCAGATTAAGGTTATTTTTGTCTTTGCATATTTTGACCCACTGGGATGACTATAATCAATAAGACAGACAATAGCAAGTGTTGGCAAGTATGTGGAGAAACTGGAACCCTCCTGCATTGCTGGTGGGCAAGTAGAATGGCCCAGTTGCTTTGGGAAACAGTTTAGTAGTTCCTCAAAATGTTAAACATAGTTTCTTGGCATATCCCCAAGAAAAATGACAGCATTTGCTCATACAGTAACCTGTACACAAATGTTCATATTCACAAGAGGTAAAGAATGTGTACTATGATGAACAGATAAAGAAAGTGCAGTATGTACATGCAATATGCAATAGTATTTAGTCACAAAAATGAGTCAAGCACTGATGTATGTCACAACGTGGGCAGACCCTGAAAACATTCTGCTAAGGGAAAGAAACTCGTCACAAAAGGCCATGTATTTTATTACACGTTTCCATATGAAATGCCCAGAAAAGGAAAAGTCCGCAGAGATGGGAAGTGGATTACTGATGGCCCAGTGCTGCGGGCGGGATGGGAGGGCAGTGGAGTGATGCTGATGGGTGTGGGGCTTCTTTGGGGGATGATGGAAACCTGCTGGAATTAGATGGTGGTGACAGTCGCACAACTTGGCGAGTATATTTAAAGCTATTGAATTTGTACACTTTAACATGGTCAATCTTACCGTATGGGAATTATATCTCAATGAAAAATTCCACTCTACATGTATAGTTATATATTAATTCTGGCTTCCTAAGTACAGGGTGTCCATAAAGTTCGTGTGCAATTTAAAATCGTGCACTATTTTATTTATTTATTTATTTTTTAGAGACAGAGTCTCACGAAGTCACAGCTCACAGAGACCTCCAACTCCTGGGCTTAGGCGATTCTCTTGCCTCAGCCTCCTGAGTAACTGGGACTACAGGTGCCTGCCACAATGCCCGGCTATTTTTTTGTTGCAGTTTGGCCGGGGCCGGGTTTGAACCTATCACCCTCAGTATATGGGGCTGGCGCCCTACCCACTGAGCCACAGGCGCCGCCCTATGGTGCACTATTTTAAATTGCACACGATCTTTCTAGACACCTGTATAACAAGGATGGTGTCAGGTAACATTTGTCAAACGAAGATGACTGAGTACCAGTCCGTGCTGGCCAGAAACACTGTGCTCTCCTCTGCTTGTAGGTAGTATCGCTTCCTTCCAGGCTCCAACGGCCACCGTCAGGCTGGTGGTCCTCGCACTTGGCGTGTCTTCCTCTCTGCTCGTGCAAGCCGTGACGTGGTGGTCAGGAAGTAGTTTGCAAAGGTATGGACGGTTCCTAGCTTATGCACTTAGAGACAAACCAGTATGACCAGGTACCAAAGGGCCAGTAGTACAGTTTTTACCTCCCCTCCAGCTTTCTAGATGTCTGTCTTTCCCTTTTCACAAAACCAGGATGTGACTATTGCCATCAATTCACTAATGTATTGAGAATTAAAGAATTTATTACATGTTGCCTAGGTAATGGGCTATATAAAGCTACATCCGTTACTGCAAATTACCAACAAGACCATTTCAGATATTCTGCGAAACTGACACTCACGATGAACATACTATGTGAAAAACGAATAAAAAGTATTTAAAAATACTTTTGCACTTCCAGGTACCTCAGAATCTGGGGCTTCATTTTAGGGCAGATTCTTCTTGTTGTTCTCCGAATATGGTACACTTCACTAAACCCAATCTGGAGTTATCCACTGTCCAACAAAGTGATACTGACATTGGGTGCCATAGCCACATTGGATCGCATTGGCACAGGTAAGTGTATGTCACATTTAATCAAGAATTTTCTCTTTTGCAGAGTTTATTTTACTGTCCCTGCATGAATGTTGTACATCTTGTAAAGAAAATCTCTCTAAGTAGCTTTTCTGCACTATATCTCCATCTCAGCTTTTTCTTTTCTTTTTTTATTGAGACAGAGTCTCACTTTGTCACCCTTGGTAGAGTGCTATGGTCATAGCTCACAGCAACCTCAAACTCTTGGGCTCAAGGGATTCTCTTGCCTCAGCCTCCCTAGCAGCTGGGACCTGCCAAAATGGCCTGGCTATTTTTTTTTTGTTTGTTTGTTTGTTTGCTTGTTTTTGTTTAGCAGGCCCGGGCTAGATTCGAACCCACTAGCCCTGGAACATGTGGCCGGCGCCCTAAACACTGGGCTACGGACACCCAGCCATTTCAGCTTTTTCTTCTTATGAAACAGTACACGTAACTGGCACAGCCAGTGGGCTATTTCTTTTCTTTTCTTTCTTTCTTTGTTTCTTAGACAAAGCCTCCCTCTCTTGCCCAGGCTAGAATGCCATGGCAACATCATAGCTCACAGCAACCTCCAACTCTTGGGTTCAAGCGATCCTCCTGCCTTAGCCTCCTGAATAGCTGGGACTAGAGGCACCCGCCACCACACCTGGCTAATTTTTCTATTTTTAGTAGAGATGGGGTCTCTCTCTTGCTCAGGCTGGTTTTGAACTCCTAGCCTCAAGTGATCCATCTCAGCTTTCTAGGGTGCCAGCAGGCTATTTTCCAAGTAGAATGCACCATATCCTCAGCAACACAGAGAGATGGTGAAAATGAAAAGCCATCTCTGATTTGTAGCACTGTGTGCGTGGGACATGCAGCCTGGCCGTGGGCTCCAGCCCACACTCAGCTCTGTCTTCTGCGTCCCTCTGGACGTTCTCCCCCCCTCACTGACTCAGTACTTCTCTAAAACTGGGAAAGTTACTGGGACCTATGGCTGTGGGAACTACCTAAGTTTTTCCCCAGGGGTCTGAAGCTCCATATCTGAAAAGAAAGGAAATTTTACATTTGTATGACATTTTTCAAATCAACTGTCACTCTCTTGGGCCTGACTTTCTCTGAGACATTCTCATACCCAACTTAGATATATGTACATCATAGCCTAACTTGAGACTCTTCTAAAAAGAAAGGTGTTACTGGATTCTAATTAACTTGCTCCTGGCTTTTTGTGTGACTCCCAGTGAGTCACCGTTGAAGCACTTGTATAATCCCCCCAGATCCTATTTTGGCATGAAACAGAGGTAATGAGAATGGGGAAAACCATGCGAGGAAACTGATGGTGTGGGATTAGAATATGTGGGACTCAGTCTGGTCCCCTAGTGTTTGCTTTGCATTTTGGTTTTTTTTGAGACAGAGTCTCACTTTGTCCCTGTCAGTAGAGTGCCATGATGTTGAGCCTTACAGCAATCTCAAACTCCTGTGCTCAAGTGAGCCTCTTGCCTCAGCCTCCTGAGTAGCTGGAACTGCAGGCACCCACCACATTGCCCAGCTATTTTTCAGAGGTGGGGTCTTGCTCTTGCTCAGGCTGGTCTCTGACTCTGGAGCTCAAGCAATCCACTCGCCTCAGCCTCCCAGAGTGATGGGATAGTCTTCCTCTGCCTCCTTGGGTAGAGTGCCATGGCTCACAGCAACCTCAGTCTCTTGGTCTCAAGTGATCCTCTTGCCTCAGCCAACCTAGTAGCTGGGACTACCATGCCCAGCTAGTTTTTCTATTTTTAGTAGAGACAGGATCTCACACTAGCTCAGGCTGGTCTTGAACTCCTAAGCTCAGACGATCCACCCTTCTCAGCCTCCCAGAGTGCTGGGATTATAGGCATGAGCTACGGTGCTGTCGGGATCACAGAGAAACCTGCCCTTCTCCCTTGGTTGGTTCACTGAAGGATCAACTCACAATTAAGGTCGATTAATAAGAGGAAGGTTTATTTCTTAATACAATGTGCATAGGAAGAACCACAAGAGTGATTACCCCAAGTTTCAGTGATGGTCAGAGACTTTTATAGATGCTTTTTGGAAGGGAGGGGAGAAGAATGTGGAAAGTATAGGTGCAGCAAGTGTTGCTGGGGGGATGTGTGCAGATGGATAGAAACAGATTGATTTGTAGATGAACCTGAGAGACAGGTCTCTGGCTTCAGATGACCCTGGGGCCAGGTCTATCAGCACATAGTAAGGAAGTCAGTAGCCCCTTTTCAATTCTTAATCAGGTTACTCAGTTTCTATGTAGACAGAGGAAAGTCCTCTTTTTCTTTTTTTTTTTTTTTTTTTT